GACCCGTCGCAATATCCCCAACAGCAGCAGAATTGACTCTTCTATTCACTTCAGTTTCTTTGATTTCAATTGGAGTTGGTGTTAGGTGCTTCATCGCGTCTGGAGAAGACCACATCTGAAGAATAAAAAATTCAGAACGTGAGAGGGTCTTATGTTCTACTATGCGATTTCTTCCCTTGCTGTTATAAATAATTTCACAGCAACTACTAAGATGCTAGATAAGTGTGAATGGAAAGAGAGTTTCAACATTTTCAATATTCATCTTTGATAAGTATGGATGTAGTGATAATGTTCTACAACATTTTCAGAGGCAGGTTGCTTTAAAACTGGGGTTTTAACCCATCATTATTAAGAGATGGACCTATTGATAATAAAATTGTTTTTAATTTATCTAATAATTTATATTTTATAATAAAATGTAATGTAAATTGTATAATAAAAAGGTATTAAATAAAATAAAAAACCAAAGTAAAATTTAATGGTTCCAAATAATGTTGTTTGGATGACAGCAATGTCTACCGTATTTGTTTTTTTTTTGAACATTGTCTACCGTATTTGTTGTTTCTGCTTTCAGGAGAAGGAATCTTTGAAGTACTAGAAAATGGCCCTTCGAAGCAATTTATTACGAACATGCCACTCACTGATACAGTTTTTCCTTTACTCAACTTCTCGTTAAGCGGCGAATTATCACGATTTATTGACTTTGTTTCTTTTTTCTTAAATCTAATAATAAAAAAATTATGTTAAATTTCAATCAATTTAAAATTGAAACGAATTAAATTTTTTAAATAAAATAATTATTTTTTTATTTACAAAATTTAAATTTAAATTTTATTTGAAAAAACCTAAATCACTTATATTCAAATCAACAAACCACAAACTATTGGCATTGATTTTGTTTCTTAACTGCTAGAAAGTTGCCCCGCTTGTTGCCTCTCCTATTTATTTGTTTATTTATCCTTTTACGTTTTAATTTTTTGTTTTTTAGGTTTTTCATTTTCATGTTTTTAAGATAATATAATTAATATTATACTTGTTATTATTAATTTGTACAAAAGGTTATAAAAGTAATATTTATTTTTAATACTAATATTATGTGGAATTTTTAATTAAATAGTTAATAATATTAAAATTAATTTTTATTTTTTTATATAAATTAATAATAAAAAAACATATTAAATACACTCTTAACAGGTAAAAATTTCATTCTATAATGATAAAATAATAAGACTTAAATATTGAATTGGAAAGTTAGAGAATGAGTAAAAGAAGATGGCTTTATATGTATAGAACTATACATGGCAGTTACTGTTCTTTTTTTTTTTTTTTAAGGTGACAAGGAAAATTCCTTTACTAGCTGAAAAAATGATTGAATTTGAAGTGGGCAAAAGCTCAAGTTCTTTCCCTGTTGACAACATTTGAATTTGAGATTATTTCCTTAACACCATTGTAACAGCTGCGATAGTAATCAATCAAGAGGCAGAGTTGCCTTATGGCCTCCCTCTTTTCCTCTCCAAGACCTAACAATCTGTCATCCTTCTCTTTGATCTTCTTCTCCAGTTGGCTCACTACTTCACTTAGATTCAACTTTTCTCCAACTTCCTTGCTCAGCGAAGCTTCCAAGTTCCAAACTTTCTCACTTAACAAGAACTCATGCTCTTCCTTGTCATCAAGTTGCTTAACCACAGTATTCATTTTATTTCGCAACTGTCTTATCTCCTTATTTCTCTCTGAGGCCCAGTTCTTCGCAAATACAAGTTCTTTTGTCACATTGGATATGCGGGTGAGGAAATTCTCAATGTCCTCCAGCTTTCTGACTGCCGAGTCTAATCCAGCCAATGCAGTGATCCTTGGTTCCACCCTCCCTGTCGATTTCTTGGACTCAACCTCATAAATTGCAACTCTTTCTTTAAGTGCTACAGTTTTTTGCTCAAACTTTTCTTTTATCTTCCTGAAGTTCTCTTTGTTTTCATAATGTATCTTTTCTGCTACTCTGATCCTTTGGTACAACAAACGGATATTATCTTCAAGTTTCTTGCGGAACTCTTCTGCTAAATCCTGCATCTTCCTTTCCAGGGCATGCTGATTTAATTTGGAATTGGAGGTCCCTGCTGACGACCATGACCATCTTTTCACCAGTTTAGAATCCTCTATGAATTTGTTGATGGTTTTCTCCTGTTCTTTTAGGATTCTCTGCTGGTCAGCAATCTTGCCTGTCAATGTCTTATTTTGATCTTCCATCTGGGACAGGCTTTGTAAATAATCCTGTCTTTCTCCTTCTAGATGCAACTCCAACTGACTATTCCGGATCTTCAAGGCATCCAACTCCTCCAGTAGATGGTCAACCTGTGCTTTGAAGGCTACAATCTGAGCAGAAGCTTCATCTCCAGCCTGATAATTCTTTCCAACAGAAGCTTCACTCCCATTTTCTGGAAATAATCCCTCTAATTCTAGTATCCTAGCAGGCATGCCTCCCCTTTCCTCTCTTAGTTGACTGGTTTCAGAGATTTTACTACTCATTTGTTCTTCCACATCATTTTTCCGTTTGAGAAGTGTCTCTACTTCCAACTCAAGGTCCATTACCCGAACCAACAAGCCTTCTTTTCCCTCAGATTTCAAGCTTGACGCTTGATTCTCTAGAACTTCATGCATCTTAACAAGGGCAGCAAGTTCTTTCTCTCTTTCATCCACTTCATTCCTCAAATTTTTGTTGATGGTTTCTGCATCTTCTATTTTACTTAATGCTGTCATGTAGTCCGAAACTAAAGCTTCCTTCTCTTCAGTGTTAGAGGCCAATTGATGCTTCAATTCAGAAACTTCTGTGTTCTCAGCTTCAAGTTCTTCCTTCATGATGTTCGCTGCTTTCAGACGCTCACTTTTCAAGCGGTTTCTTTTTTCAGTGTCCTCTGAGGAATAGTATTCTGAATCTGAGCTGGAAGTTGACGAAGAAAGCCTCTCCTTTCCTTTCCTTCCACGACCTTTCTTCTCTAATTCTCCTTTAAGATTATCACAAAGCGCAACGAGTGACTGATATTGTTTGTGAAAGTCCTCAACAAGTCGAACAAGTTCTGACTCTTTCCTCAAATCTCTTGGGAAAACATCATTTTCAGACTGGTCTTTATTCTTGATAAGCTTCAAGATCTTCGAAACTTTCTTCTCAACGTCTGCAAATGACAGGGAACATCTGATTATGATACTTTTAACATCGAAATGTAGCAGCAAGAGAAGAACAAGGCCGCTCAAAATCACCATGTAAGATACTTGGGATAGTCTAGCACGAAACAAATCCAGTCAAAAGAACAGATCACATTACTACATATATCAAAGGGAATGCACAGTCATTTTCAAGAAGCAGGGTTAAAATAGTGCAAGGCTACTTAAGAAAACAAACATAAAAAACCAATTAAACTGAACACAAAATTTTGAGTTGAAGTTGCCACAAGTTCTAACGAGCTAAAAGGTAAGATCATTCCAATCTGACCCTCTTAGAAACTCTGCTTTTGGAGGAAATGCCTTAGCAATAACACTGTTTAATGTAATTCTCTAGGAATATAAATTAATAAAGAGAACAACATGAAACTTCAGATTAATTGGCCAAATTTAACAACACTTGAAAAGTTAGTTCTTAAGAGAAATAGACGGAAATGATAGCACTAACGACTTTCCAACATTAAGCTTCAAAACTTACAATAGAAAAGTAGAAGTATAATAAGACTCAGGGTGTTTTCACCAAAAAAAAGAAAAAAAAGGAAGAGAAGAAAAAAAAGACTCGGTGAAGAATTGCTGATGTTTTCTCTTCCTCGAAAAAAGATTTTTATGAGAATGATTCACACTCTAGACCATCAATAATTCAAAATAGAATTTAGACATTAGGAGAGAAGAGAGAAATGCACCTGCTATGTTCACTTCCAACTCCATCTGTTCCATTCTTTTGCATATCAAGTTCTTCCTCCTAGGACTTCATTAGCTACTAATGCTTCATCATCTATGTTATGGAATTTTAATGAGCTTTAGCACATAATCTCCCATCAAGACAAGGCATTTTCCTCTAGCACATCACACTAAAGATCTGCAAATAAAATGATGTAACAATAAGAATACTACTTTGACTTTACAAAATAAAATTATATTTTGCAAAACTACATTTTGAGTCATAGAATGCAGACCATAAAGTTATAGCAGCTAGGAAGCATTAAAAATATCAAGACCATGATACAAAGTTCACTAATGGCAGTGTATGTGGTACAATCCACGAAGGAGACGCAACCCAAAAGTAATTCTGGATTTCAAAATTCAAACCCTGGAATCTAAAGATCCTCAAGACATAAAGATAAGAAATAGATTTACAATCTTACAGTCAAAACTCATGATATTCCAAATTATTATCAACCAAAAGAAAATTAGGATTTAAATTAAATTCCATCCTTCCCTGTATACTGCCTGTCCCAACCATTGGACAAAAAAGGAAGTATCCTCTGGATCCATCTAGGAATCTTCCTTCACCTAAAAAGAATCACATTTACCTAACCAATAATTGATATTTGGTAGACCCTATAGAGGATAAATTGTATACTTTATAATTATTAATCAAAAGTAAATTTTTTAGTGATATCTCATTTATAACTAACAATAAAATGTACTATCTGTTTAAAACAGATTGTAAAATAGCAATCTTTTTGCATAATTTTTCATTCCAACTATTTTTTATGTCGAGCTTGATTTGGGCAAAATGGCTTCCCAAAGAAACAATGATCTTCTAAATAAATCCCGATCTCTCCGCTGGAGGTGGAGAATGACGGCAGATGTGATTTGGGTTTTCAATTTCATGAGGCCAACAGTTTCCAACATTTTTGAATCCCCAATTCAAAATCTTCAGTTTTTTTTTTTTAATAAACTCCAAAAGCAATCATACATGCAATGCCATCCATAACAAGCACAAACTAAATAAAATTTTCAATCCTTAAGAATTTTCAATTAGAGAAACGGGATTTCCTCATCAATTAAACACACGTCCACCGTATAAGAATGACAATCAATGATGCACCGCGAAAGCTACGTAAAATTCAAAAAATTTCAACTCAGAAATAATCCATCAGACAAGGTTTTCAACGTGCGTAGCCCAGGGTTCAGGAAAGTAATTCATTACTATCATAGAACATAGAATAGAAAAAAGCAACCTGATAATTTCAAATTAAGATTAAATGTTTGATTATTCTCACATTTTCTTGGAAGCCAAACAGAAAAAAAATGC